GACGGATTCCAGGGGTTCTGTTTGACGGATTCCAGTCGTTCGCTGCTCGCTTAGGCGACGCGCTAAACAGAATAAGGAAGTTAGGGTTACGGAAAGCCAGCGATCCGTGGCCATATATCGGATGGGGGATAATGTAAGGCCGAGATGGCGCTTACGTGTAAGGCCGAGATGGTGCTTACGTGCGACGGGTATATATACTATTCTGTACGCAATAATTAACTGTTGGTTGATTATTCGCACCTTTTTAGTTGTATTGGCGTAGTGGTACAGAGCTCCGTCCTTACACTTAGTGTTCTACCTAACTACTTTAATGTTCTTTAAGTTTTAGTTTAATTTAGTAAGCTTATTAGTAATAAACTTCTTAATAGCTTTAGCCTAAGTTTACTTCTTTAGCTATTTATTTTTAAAGAATATGTTTATAGCAGAATCTAGTTTAACTTTATAGTAATCTTAAAACTTAAAAGAATAGCAAATTAGGGAAGCTAACTAGAATATAGAATTAGTGTCTAGATATAGCAAAAGGCTGTAAGTTTAGAGCTAACTACGCTACTTCCTAGGCTCTGCCTAACTATAGCTAGAAGATGCACCTAGGTTTATAACCTTATTATAATGTTAGCTAAGCCTAAACCTAAACAAGTATAAGTTTACTAAGGAACTTAATAATGTTATAAAATATATAGAATATGTACTAAGGTAAAGAGTTAAGCATAAGCACTAATTAGAGAAGGGGAGAGAGATAAGTACTAAAGGGAAAGAGAGTTTAGCCTTAGGTACTAGTACATAAAGCTAAACCTCCTCTTTCCCCTCTATTAGCTTTAGCCTAGGCATACTATAATAAAAAGTCTAGTAAATATAGAAAACACTTACTTAATCTTAGAAGCCTGTCTTTAATATTAGACTTAGCTGTTTCTAGCTAGTTCCTAGGTAGGTTTGTTAGAGTGCAATAGGTTGTTTCCACTGTAGTAGGTAGCAAATAGGGGTGGAGGATATAGAGAGAAGGGGAGAGGGGGGGGGGAGGGGCTTTTAGGATAGGTACTGCCTTAAACAGACTTAGGGAAAACACTACACTTGCTAGAATTAGCTAATTAGAACTTTAGTACACTACACTAGTTAGCGCTAGCCTATAAATAACTTATAATTACTCTTTTAGTTAAAAATTATTTAAATTTACTAAAATTACACCTGTCCTTGTTGTTGTTGTTGTTATTATTATTACTGTTGTTACTGCTGCTGCTTCTGCTACTAGAGCAGAGAGTAGTAGATTATAGAGGTAAAAAGAGCTTATAAAGTTGCAAATAGTTGTTTATAGCTAGCGCGCGTGCTAAGCCTATATGTAGTCAGTGCATTAGCAGTGGCAAGTAGGTACCTATACTAAAACCCTCTCTCTACCCCCTAACTATCTCCTTATCCTACACGTTAGCTAGACCTATGCTAAGCTGTTTAGCTACATGTTAGAATAATAAATAAAACCTCTAGCTAAAAATGTAATAATTATTTTACGTTAACCTTAAAAGAGTATCCTGTATAAGGTTTAGCGCATTTTACATTATAACATATGCTCTATTACAGTAAATTTACCTGTCACGTGTGCTACTATGTATATACATGTTAAGGAGCAGATAAAGAGAGGGAGCTTAGCAATACATACTAGTACTTATACTAAACCCCCCTCCTCCTCTTCCTTCTACCCCCTCTCTCTCCCCCTTCTTCTTCTCTTCCCTTTAGCTATCTCCTGCCTATAGGTTTACACTGTAGCTACGCTAATTATTTTATAGATCTTACCATTATCTCTCCCTAATAATACCTAAGCAACGCTTAACCTATATGCTATTATAACTATAAAATATTATCCTAATTAGCCCTGCTAGAGTTTTCTAAAGAGACATTAACTTATTGCGCATCTGCAGTAAGTCTTCTACACTGTAGAGGGATAATTCACTATTTTGTGGACTATCTTAGTTTCTACGCACTACTACCACCCACCCTAGCTCTTGCAGCATGCGGTTGCTTACCCCTTTGTGCTCTATATCCTGTAGTTAGTGTCGCACGTGTCTCACGCGATATCATACCCATGTACTGCACTATTCACTTATTAGGCATAGCTCCTATCTTATACAGTATATAGTCAGCTTAGAGCTCTATTAAGCTTCTTAGACCTTATAATACACTTGTTTAATCTACCTTGTTTAGATCTTACTACCTTGTTAACTTGCCTTCTATATAACCCCTCCTTAGCTTATGCAAGAAAAAGCCTTAATGCAGCTAGCACGCCTTACTAAGTGCGCAATGCTATTCCTGACTACCTACTATACGTATGCATACTATATTACAGAATCTAGCTTGCAGGGCCTTTGCAAAACGTTTCTGTCTATTATCTATGTACTACTAACCGCTAGAGGTGGGTGCTGTTTGATTCCACTAAAAACCTAAATGCAGCAAGCGCTTAATGCCAGCTAAGTACCATAATGCTATTCCTAACTACCCACAAACCATACGTATGCATACTATATTACAGAATCTGGCTTTTAGAGCCCTTGCAAAACGTTTCTGTCTATTATCTATGTACTACTAATAGCTGGAGGTAGATAGTGTTTAATTCCACCAAAAACCTAAATGCGGCTAGCGCTTAATGCCAGCCAAGTACTATAATGCTATTCCTGACTATCTACAAACCATATGGATGCATACAAAATTACAGAATCTGGCTTGCAGAGCCTTTGCGAAACGTTTCTGTCTATTATCTATGTACTACTAACCGCTAGAGGTGGGTGCTGTTCGATTCCACTAAAAACCTAAATGCGGCTAGCACCTAATGCCAGCCAAGTACTATCCATAATGCTATTCCCGACTACCAACAAACTATATAGATGCATACAATATTACAGAATCTAGCCTGCAGAGCCTTTGCAAAACGTTTTTATCTATTATCTATGTACTACTAACAGCTAGAGGTGGATGGTGTTCAATTCCACTAAAAACCCAAATGCAGCTAGCGCTCAATGCCAGCCAAGTACCATAATGCTATTCCCGACTACCTACAAACCATATGGATGCATACAAAATTACAGAATCTGGCTTGCAGAGCCTTTGCGAAACGTTTCTGTCTATTATCTACGTACTACTAACAGCTAGAGGTGGATGGCGTTCAATTCCACTAAAAACCCAAATGCGGCTAGCGCTTAATGCCAGCCAAGTACCACAATGCTATTCCCGACTACCCACAAACTGTATGGATGTATACAAAATTACAGAATCTAGCTTGCAGAGCCTTTACAAAACATTTCTGTCTATTATCTATGTACTACTAACAGCTAGAGGTGGATGGTGTTTAATTCCACTAAAACCCTAAATGCAGCTAGCGCCCCTTGCTGCCTCGCTAAACAATCCTCTTACCAAAAACGGTCAAGACCTCTCCAATGCCTATCTTTCAACCACTCTCTCTTCTGCCACAACGCCTATATAGCTTAACCGCTGCCTGCCTGTAGCTTTTGAACCTGTTTTCGTCCCTTTGCGCGAAAAAAACCCTACTGTCCCAGGTCTAACCTTATGCCTGTTTCTGCGGTTCATATAGAGCGCAATCTAGGCTAGGTTAGCTTAAACTAGACTAGTATATAAGTTAAGCACTGCTCTAAGTTTATAATAAAGTTTAATTTTAAGTATAATTATAAGAGAGTGCTTTATAAGGATCTAGAGGTTATCTAGGGCTAGTTTTGCCTAGTAGCTAACATAAAAGCTAAGTATAGTATCTAGGATAAAGACAGGTATAACTTTAATAAGTTAGGCTTTATAATAGGCTAGATATTAACTAAAGTAGTTATTATAGCTTTAGAGAGACAAAGATAGCTAAAAGTAATATAGTAAAGTAACAGAAAGTAGACAACAGTTATCTAGGGCATTAATGTAACAAAGTAGGCTATAAGATTATAAAGCTTTAAGCAGCAAATAAGGCTGCCACATAACATAGATTATATAAAAGAAAGTAGATTTAAGTAAAAAGAACTTTAATAGTTAAGAATAGAGCTTATCTAACTGCTTTAAAGGAGTTTAGAGCATATAGTAATAGAAAGAAGCTAAAGACGCAGGTGCGCGCTAAAGAAAGTAAGCTAAGTTAAAGGCAATGTAAGCAGTGTAATTAGACTAGGCATAACTTACATACATATAAGTAAGTAGTAGAAGTAGACTCTAAATAATATCTTATGTTGTATTACTCTATACAGAGCTAAAGTAGGCTGTTTTGCAAGAGAATAGGGTGGTTTTAGTAGAGGCTTAGCAAAAGTGGCCGGCCAACTCGTGTGGCCGGCCAACCTGTTAGGTACGTTACTTAACTTTACTTAATAACTTAAAAATAGACTTTTATAGCCTACTTTATTGTAGTCTAGCTATAGTTTCTCTTAAGAAAGATTAATTAGCTTTTGCTAATATAAACTTATATTTTAATAACTTTTATGTTTAATATATTAATAAAAAGTCCTATAAGAGCATTATAAATAAAAGTAGTAGCTATTATATACGTTTAGATAAAAAGTTATGTTATAGTATAAAAAAAAATTAAGTATATAAAGTATGCTTATTACTTTAAATTTAGTAAAAAGTTCTGTTGCGTTTGCTAAAAGGTTAACCTCCTAGCTAGCACAGTAGAAGGATATATGTAGACGGATAGCTGTACGCGACAAGTTCTTTAAGGTGCGCTTGTTAGCTCCTTCTAGCGTATTTACACGCAGTCTGTCTATGCTAACTCTAAATAGCTTCCTGTGTTCTTTAAACCTAAATAATAAGCTTTTAAATACACTATTTTTAATATTTTATTTTTTATTAATCTACTTAACCCTACTTAGTTAGTGTAGTCTAATGTAATAGTTATGTTGTAAGTAAACACTATTATTTAGTTTTTTTAAGTATAAGTCTTTTTATTATAGCATAATCTAGCTTAATTAGCTCTGTTCTAGCTCTTAATAGTTTATAGCAAAAATAAAATCCTATACAATAACTATCTATACACACATAGTAGCGTTATAGGTAAAATTACTAAGACTAAAGTTGTTTTTAAAAAGCTAGCCTACTCTAAAGCTAATATTACTAAGAAAGAGAAAAAAAAGTACAAGACGCTTAAAAAAAACTCTAATAAAGATAAAGCTACAATAACCCTAATTAAAAAAGTAGATATGCGCTATTCTTAACTATTCTAGCACTAACTAGTATAATAGAGAAAGGAATTGTTAGCTAAGCGTTCAATCTTGCTTTGAACTCCTCAGTCTTCCTACAGCATTCACGATTTCTTGTCCTCCTCATACCCACCTAATGTACATACACGATTTTCGGTTCCGATCCAGCCCGTCAACGTTCTCTTCCGTTTACATCGGTGTCTTGGGTGGATCGGAAGATTGGCTGAGCCTGTCAATAACATGCTATTTTTTCGTTTGGTTGACTGCTGGCTATCGCTATGGGAGCGTTTGCGGCGTTGGTGGATGACTTGACTTCGAGGATTTGGTGGCTGAATTGAAGGTTCTGCAATCATCCGGCCTGGATTTGCCTGCTTAATATAAGATATTCTTGGCTCCACAAATTTGCTTTAACTTGTTCTTACTTGTTCTTCTGATTGTAGCTGAGCTTTTTGAAATAAATCTTGACGAAGCAATTCTTCCGAGGTTGTTATGATGGTGACGTGACGCAAGATGAGATCTGGTTGTTCTTTGGCCAGAATAGATCTTGCAGCTCGCCTAAATCGCTTTGCAAGCTCGTCCACCCGTTCGTTTCCTTCAACAGCCGAATGTGCGGGAACCCATCGAAGCTCAACAGTAATTCCGACGTCGTAAAGCATGTTTGCGTATGTGAACAAGTTCATTATCCAATCTGGCTTGGATAGAAAGCTGAACGTCGATTTTGATTTTATGCCTTGAAGTATTGACTGACAGTCAGTAAATATCAGCACACGGTCGAAATCGTTCGTTAGTTCACAAGCCTTGCGGAATGCTTCGTGAATGGCTATCATCTCTGCTTCAAGGGCAAATGCACTGCCGTATGGAAGGGTGTTGAACGTGATGAGCTCCGCCCAGTCCTTGGATGAAAAGTCGAGATATCTAACTGCGGCCGCAGTGAGTCTTTTCGCTTCTTTGACGGGAGGGAATTTCTCTACAGATCCATCAACCCATAAAACAAGGCATCGTTCAATCATGCCTTGCTCAAATATGTTATGGCCATATTGAATTGCTGATAACCTATCCTGGATAACGATGTTGTCGGGATATGGATATAAGGACTCTAGAATACTTGGGGTGCTCATGACGTATACCGTAACTCCAACGGGATGGAAATGTTCCGATGGAATTGTATGGAGACACTGAAGGGAGAAGCGAAGTGTGTGGCATGTATGGATCTGTTCCACTAATGTACTGTACATAGCCGAATAATGGTCACGTGCTGTATGGAATTTGTTGAGTGGAGAAAAATTGCATGATAATGGTCCATGCGCTCGAGCAGCTCGGCCTAGCGCACCAAGAAGGAATCGCCTGCTTGCCACCATCACCCAACACCACTTTTCGCCAGCACTTCTCGAGCCTATCGCATCGATCAACAATCATCGTTCAGTTGTCGTTCCCCCTTCTCTCTCGATCCTCAGAGCCTGCACAAATGGCCGGCCAACAGTTGCGCGAAAGGATCGCCGTCCAAACGCAACGCGCCACGCGTTCCCAAACGCTCGACCCGAACAGCAGCAACGCCGTCCCCAACTCGCAGCCTCCTGAGGGTGACGACGACGAGCTACTACAGCGTGAGGAGCGAGCGCACCGTCGTCGGATGATGCAGCTGGAAGCAGCAGAGGCTGAAGCCCGCATCGAGAACCTCCGCCAGGCGTCGAGTGCTACCAGTGGCCGCAGTCAGGGGCTCGACGACATATGTGCAGGTGAGAACTACACCCCCGCCATCACTAACATCATCAATGAGATGCCCGGCATCGCCCCAAGAGACATCTACCTCATCTCTGAGCAAAAATTCGACCCGGTAAACCTCTCCCGTCTACACGTCCCATCGGCAGCGGCCCCGTCGTCCCCTCGCCCATGCTCCTCCACGAACCCCAGTCCTACGTCGAGATCGACCCAACATCCCGCCAAATCCGAATGAAGCGGCCCAGGGGTTCCCCTAAGGACTTGGGCGACACACCAGACATCTGGATGGCAAGCTTCACAAACTATATACGCATCATCACGCTCCTTTTCGGCACCGAGAACCTAGGGGCATCGCCGGCATGCTACACTTTCAGCGCCGCATACAGGACCTAGCCCAAAGCTACGCATGGGAAGCGGTGCTTGGCTTTGCCCTAGACACCCATAAACTCATCGCTGCAACCTCAATCCTTTCCCGCGATGCAATGGAGAATGTAAACCGCTCACATCTCGATCATTGGATCAACGCCGGTACAGTCCGCATTAAAAAGCCCCGGCCTACTACATCATCTAATGATTCAACCATAATCTGTAATAACTTCAACAGCCAGGGCTGTGAGTTTCAGCGCTGTACAAGACGGCATGAGTGTATGAAACACCTCTCCACCCCACACGGCGCCAATAGCTGTGAGTAATAAGGGAACCTTCCCCTAGCCATCAACCCACCACGCGAACGCCTACGAATCACAAAGGATGTTCTCCACGATATCCTACCGCTTACTAATCACAAAGGATGTTCTCTACGATATCCTGCTGCTTACCAATCATAAGGATGTTCTCCACGATATCCTACCTCCTACTAATCACAAAGGATGTTCTCCTCGATATCATGCCTCTGCCAATCACAAAGGATGTTCTCCACGATATCCTGCCTCTACCAAGCGTCAAGCGTACCTGTTTGCCCTACAGCGGCAGTTTGCCCCTAGGGAGACCACCACTCTCCTCTCCTATCCTAATCCCCCTCTTCTACGCTTAAAAAACACTCCCACACCCTAAAACAACAACATGGCGGGCGCAGGAAGTGGGCCAGAGACCATCTCTCGCCCGGCGGAACTGGCTGAGCGAGATCACGTACGGCAGCAATCTCAGCCATCTGCCCCATCGAGCAGCACCAGCTCGATCCGGCCTAGCTCCTGCGCCTCCTAAACATGCAAACCATATACCCTACTCCCTACTCCCTACACCCTGCGAGAGATGGCGTGGATGATTGATTTTCTAGGGAGCTTCTTTGTACCTGGCTGCCGGCGCAGCTTCGGCCCAGACTCAGCACAGGAAAACAATGATCCGGCCGGAATAGCATGTGAATTCCTGCCAGGCCCACAGAATTTGTTGCTAGTCACGTAGACTGAGCGTCATCCTGATCTCGGAGGGATCTAAAACACGCTCACATATACAACAACCTAGGAATCTTTGCTTAACAACTTATGCTGTTAGCTATCATAATTTAAGATCTATCTCTCTCTTTCTAGGTGACTTCTACATACTATTTCTTATATAAATGCCAGTGAACGCTTAAAGCTCCTCTAGCCTATTGCAAGTTACCTACAGCAACATTCGCTTAGACCTAGCAAAGCTAGCGTCTGTGCCACAGAATTTGATTAAATAGCTGCTCCTGCAGCTCCTCTTGCTTAGACTTTGTTTAAGGCAGCCTTACGCAATTATTATCAATCACTACGCAGTAATAAACTAAGTAAGGCAGTATTAATATATCTAACTCCTTTTAGTAACAAGTTGCAAGTAACTAATCCCGCTGTTTTCAGCGGCATATGCCACCCTTTTAGTAGTGCATTGTTGTCCTGGTTAAACCTATATATGTAACGATCCTCATGAATCGTTCCATCTCGGATGGCCCGGAAGGCCCCCGTATCAGCCCCGACCCCGACCTGGCCCCGACCCCTGCTGTTACCCCTATTCCCTCATGTATTTAGTCGCACCTTGCCCCTGTAGCTAGCTTAGTAGTTTTCTAATATCCTTTTGTACAAGGCCTATAGGTGTTAATAGCATTCCTAGGTTCTAAGTCCCCACGCACTCCTATATGCCTCTAAGTGGATTCCTACCGCATTTAGACCCATTGTCTTGCCTACGCTGTTACATTATATTAGAAAACTCGCTTTTGCTAGTAACAGCCTTATACAATATTGCATTAATTGTTTGTTTAACTATGTCTAAGCCTAAGACGCGTCTAATTTAGTTTAGGTTTCAATACTTACACACTGTTATATTAAACTATTTAGTCTATAGACTATATCCTATTAACTTTTAGTTAACTAAAGCCTTTAGGTTTAGAACTTCCTATCCCTATGCAATTAAGATTACCTTTAGAAAAGTTGCAAAGAATGCGCTAAGGTAGAAACTTAAAGACTACTAATAACCTATTAGAATTAGAGACAACTGCTAATGCCTAACTTTTAACCCCTAACCACTAACCACCACCCTGTTAACAGCTAAACCTGCGTCTGCAGGACCTAAAGCTAGACCCACCTGATTTAGAGTTAACCTCTAGCTGTAACGATTCTCGTTCCATCTCGGGTCGCCCGGAACCCATCCGAAGGGTCCCCGTATCGGCTCCGACCCTGGCTCGACCCTGACTCGACCTGGCCCCGACTCTGCCCTGCCCCCTGCTGTTACCCCTATTCCCTCATGTATTTAGTCGCACCTCGCCCCCGTAGCTAGCTCGGTAGTTTTCTGATATCCTACGTACAAGGCCTATAGGTGTCATTGGTATTCCCAGGTCTCTGAGTCCCCACGCACTCCCATATGCCTCTGAGTGGATTCATACCGCATTTGGACCTATTGTCTTGCCTGCGCTGTTACATTATATCAGAAAACTCGCTTTTGCTGGTGACAGCCTTATTAATAATATTGCATTAATTGTCTGTTTGACTACGTCCAAGCCCGAGACGCGTCTGATTCAGTTTAGGTCGCGATCCTCTACACTGTTACATCAAATCACTCAGTCTATAGACTGGATCCCATTGACCTCCGGTCGACCGAAGCCTTTGGGTTTGGAACTTCCTATCCCCTGCGATTAGGATTGCCTTCGGAAAAGTTGCATAGAGGCGCTAAGGTAGAAACTCGGAGACTACTAATAACCCATCAGGATTGGAGACAACCGCCGATGCCTGACTACCAACCACCCCCTGACCCCAGAGTCAAAGCACGCTCTAGGCGAGGCAAGCCCCTAGAGTTGATGAACGATCTATGTCAACAGCTGAACCTGCTTCGGCGGGACCTGAAGCTAGCCCCACCCGATTCGGACTCGAGCCACAGCAACATGTCCCGATAGACCTCGATTGACTACCGAATCCCCCCCGATAATGCCTCGAATCATCCCTCCTACATCAATGGCAGGGGACCTTTTAGGCACCCCCGACAATGCCTCGAATCATCCCTGCTACATCAATGGCAGGGGACCTTTTAGGCACCCCCGACAATGCCTCGAATCACCCCTGCCACTCCAATGGCAAGACACCTTTTAGGCACCCCCGACAATGCCTCGAATCATCCCCGCTACCTCAATAGCAAGAGACCTTTGAGGCACCCCTGACAACGCCTGAATGCCACCACACTAAACGCACGCCTAAGATCGATAACCGCACAGATGGCAATGAACAAAGGTCTTGATGATTGACAGGCTGGACATCTATACGGATCACTATCGGAACAGGCGCGCATGGCGTTGGGTATGGAGGACACCGCTGGCAGTGCGAAGGAATACTTAGCAAGGACACCTAGCTGAATCGGACCAGTTCGTTTCAAGGATGCAGAGGATATGACAGCGATACTTTGTACTATGACTACTACTGATAGGGACTATCAGTCTACAGAGGGGGGGGTAGTGTAACGATTCTCATGAATCGTTCCATCTCGGGTCGCCCGGAACCTATCCGAAGGGTCTCCGTATCGGCTCCGACCCTGGCTCGACCCTGACTCCACTCTGCCCGGCCCCCTGCTGTTACCCCTATTCCCTCATGTATTTAGTCGCACCTCGCCCCCGTAGCTAGCTCGGTAGTTTTCTGATATCCTACGTACAAGGCCTATAGGTGTCATTGGTATTCCCAGGTCTCTGAGTCCCCACGCACTCCCATATGCCTCTGAGTGGATTCATACCGCATTCGGACCCATTGTCTTGCCTGCGCCGTTACACTAGCAGTATATCTATGCTTAACTACAAGCACAGCTTAAGCAGCTAATCCACTAAAACACTGCTAGGCAACCACTAAATCACCCCTAATAACGCCTTAAATTATCCCTGCTACCCTAATAGCAAGAGACGTTTTAGGCACCCCTAACAATACCTAATGCTACCTTACTAAACGCACGCCTAAAATTAATAACTGCACAGATAGCAAAGAACAATAGTAAGCCTTAATTCTTAACAGGCTAGACATTAATACAGATTACTATTAGAGCTAGCGCGCACGCATAGAGTTTAGTTGGAGGACACTGCTAGCATTGCAAAGGAATAATTTAGAGCAAGGACACCTAGCTAAATTAGACTAGTTTTAGTTTAAGAATGCAGAGGACATAACAGCAATACTTTGTACTATAACTACTACTAATAGGGACTATCAGTCTACAGAGGGGGGGGTAGTGTAACAATCCTCATGAATTGTTCCATTGTAAAGATGGGATGGTAAGTAGCACGGATAGCACTGAGAGCAAGCTTTCGGAGAAAGATAGGAGTGTATTGTAAGAGAGACGAATCGCTGCCAAGCTTCGCTTGTCAGGATTCATGCTTATATACGAAGCACAGGTCATACGACCTCCAAACAGGTCAGGTGAGGCCATACTGGCCCGTTCTGGGACATCCGGCCTTACATCCATCTTAGATAGCCCAGAAGGCCCCCGTATCAGCCCTAACCCCGACCTGGCCCCGACCCCTGCTGTTACCCCTATTCCCTCATGTATTTAGTCTCACCTCGCCCCTGTAGCTAGCTTAGTAGTTTTCTGATATCCTTTCGTACAAGGCCTATAGGTGTTAATGGCATTCGCAGGTTCTAAGTCCCCACGCACTCCCATATGCCTCTGAGTGGATTCCCACCGCATTCGGACCCATTGTCTTGCCTGCACCGTTACAATATAGTGCAACACAAGTAGGCAGTGCTGAACTATTTAAAGCGATCTTAGCTTTAGTCTAAGCTTTTTTTCCCCACAGCTAGATTACTTTAACTGTTTTATTAAATTTAAATAGGCTGTTAAGATTCCTCTAACAAGATTTTCCTCTCTCTGTTATTATTAGCAGAGGGAGAAAAATCTTATTAAGGGGGAAATCTTAACAGCTATTTAAAGAGAGTTTAAAAACTAGTGACGTACAGCACTTCTAAATTAATAGAAAGAGCTTAGTGTTAGTGGCGCGCTAGCGGACACAAAGGCTTAGAACGACACCTTTATTAAGATTTGTCCTAAGTTATACATTCTAGGACAGGAAGTTAGACAGGTTAGGGATTAGTGATATCTTAATTTTAACTCTAGACTAGGGTTTGCGTGAGCACATCACAGCTGTCCTGAATTCTTACTATACAACACAGAGTGTAGCTTAATAAGTTTAGATACTATTACTAAGAATGCACCTTCTATTCTCCGCTTCCTTCTTAAATACTTTCACTGCCTCCTCTAGCTAATTAAGTTTCCTAAGTTATATTTCTTATTACATTTAAATTCTGTTTAGCTATGGATTTAACGCTGTTAAGATTCCTTTTAAAAATTAATACAGTCTAATAGAGTAGAGGAGGACTTTAGGAAATTAATTAAACTAATCTGTAAGAAAAAGGGAATCCTCTTAGCGCCTTTAAGTATTATAAGGCTTATTTAAAACTAGCTAGTCTTATAGATAAACTTGGTTAGACTAGCTAGAAACCAGGTAGTAAGGCTGTCAAGATAGAAGGACAAGGCTGCAAGGCAGGATAGTAAGGCCGTCGTAAGGCCGCTACAGCCTCCCTCTTAGATACCCCCTAATGCGCCTCTTTAATAGATAGTATTCTTATTAAAAATATGTTTATAGCAGTTTTACGAAAAAAGTATAAGCAAGCTTAGAGGTCTAAACCTAGGCTACTAGTGTGAGAAATTGCGCCATGTGTCAAGATCTAAGCCGCTGAGCAGGGGAAGTGGCCTGAATCTAGGACAACGGCGTTCAGATTTAGGCTAATACTTAGCTTGCTCAGGCTTGCACAGCCACATGCTTAGGTTACTTAGTCACTGCTTAGTTTTAAATCCTTGTATGCTTAGGTTTAAAAGCAGAAATGGACTTTAGTGAGGTTAGTCTCACCTGTAGAGAACATCGCTATATATATAAAGATTTTCTTTTTAAATAGCATTTATAGCTAATATAGCTAATTTTTTACACATTAAGCATAATCTAAGCTATGTTAGCATAAACTAGCTTAGTATATTTATAAAGTGTTATTTAAAGCTTAAAATAAAGTTTATATAATACTATAAATAAAATAATAAGTTTAAATATAGTAAAAGTCTACTTACAGGCATATAAAAGTGTGTAGAGACTTAATAGCTTAGAAATTTTATTAATACTTATAAGCCTTATATGAAGAATATTAGAAAACTAAAGTTGCAAAGGTGTACAGTTACGCTAGGATCTTATCTTAGAAGAAGACGCACATTCTACGCAGTAGAGCAGCTAAGCTAGCAGAGCTTAAAGGGGTTAGTGAGGATTAGATTCGGGAAGCAGGCAGGTAGAATTAGGAGCAAATGGTTGGCTGCTACCTCAACTCACTGCCGCGGAAGTTCATGAGGTCTATGGCTGGCCATCCGCCGCAAATGGACTGCTTCGAGATCCCTCGCGCAGCTGTCGCGCCTCCAGACGAGCTCCTGTCTCTCATCTGGACAGAGCTCGATGCGTGGAAGGGCCGCTTCGGCCCACACGCTGGCCAGATCAACGACCTAGCCGCAGGGGGCCTCATGAGCCTGCTGCTCTACCTCAGAGAGGTCATCCTCTGTCGCACGTGTCTCACGCGATATCATACCCATGTACTGCACTATTCACTCATTAGGCATAGCTCCTCTCTCGTACAGTATATAGTCAGCCCAGAGCTCTATCGAGCTCCTCAGACCTTACAATACACTCGTTCAATCCACCTTGTTTGGATCTCACTACCTTGTCGACTCGCTTCCCATATGACCCCTCCTCAGCTCATGCAAGATCCTCCAGGACTCAGTTGCGCTGCGCCGGCGCTTCCCTAGCCACCCTGTGTGGAACCACCCAGTGTTCCAGCACAGGGCGTACGCCGCCTTCGCTCAGGACATCGACGCGTCTCTCGACGCAGAGGCAGCTCCTAGTCGGCTGTCAGTCCTGTACCAGGCGATACCCCTGCTTGCTGACCAGCTCCAAGCGCTGGATGCCCGGAACGAGCAGCGGGTGAGGGAGCTTAAGAGGGAGCTTAAGGAGGAGCTCAATCACCTGCGCGAGCTGCAGAGATTACAGCCTCAGCAGCTGCAGGTGCTCATGTCTGGCAGCCTTATGTTCCGCCTGGAGGCGTCGCAGGCGCAGGGCGGTCTGCTGCTGCCACCTCTACTCAGGCACACAGCAGCTGCGCCGCCGTCGCTGGCAGACGTAAATTCAAGCAGGTATACCTCTGCCCAGGCCAGCATCGCGCCTACGCCGTCTGCGCGCTCGCCTAGCCCATCGCCTCTGCCAGCAGCGCTTGAGCTGGCCCCTGAGCTAGAGCCTGCACCGAAGCATCGCATGTGCCGCGCTGTGAGGACCGTGGAGGACCTTAGGCGCGAATGGACAGTAGGCCTGCAGGGCCAGCCTTCCATCGCTGAGCTAGACAGGCGCTGGGGGAACAAGTGGAGGTCAGGTCGTCAGAGCGAGCTGCAGTGGTACTCTCTGCGGCTCGAGGTCATCAAGGAGATCAGGCGCATCGCGCAGGCGCGGAGGACCAGCGAGGAGGCGGCCATGTGGCAGGTGAGCCAGCAGCAGCAGCAGCAGAGGGTCTCGCTGGACCAGCTCTGCAAGCATCTCAGAGTCGCTCGGAAGGAGAGCAATCACCCCTAGTTTTGTAGTCCTAGTATTGTATATAGTTATTGTCACGAGAGTTAATCGATTGGTGTTTAGAGAGTTATGGCTGCTAAGCGGGGATTCTATTCTGCATTGTTCTGCAATTTCCTGCGTCTTGTTGCAATTTGCTGCGTTGTTCTGCAATTTGTTGCACTGTTAGGATACTGTGCGAGCACAGTATACTTCCTTCTGTCACACTGTGACAGTTATAGAGAGGTACCTAGCAGCCATACAGTGCTTTCCCAGCAACGTAATAGCAATTATAATGCAGCTCTGCAGCGCCTTAAAGCTAGAGCAGCCTGAGAACTATCATAAGACCAAAAGTCAGGACATTTGAACATGTGGCGGCATAGATAATGCCCATAGAGGGTGGGCAGTGGACATGGGTGGATCATCAATCCGGCGCCACCAAACCATCTGAAATGAATGCGAAAAACCTATCTAACTATACCGCCGACCACAATCAATAGGAACGCAAAATTACAGAGTACAAGACCCTGCGCAAATCTCTAGCTAGGATGAGTGCAGAGATCTCTCGTACAATCGCACTCCAGCACTACTTCCTGATTAAGGATCACAATGATGCATACAACAAACTCGTAGCGCTCAAACGTTAACTAGCACCAACCAGCACCAATCGCCAAAGGATACTTATAGAGCAATACTAAGCTCTTCAGAAGAACCCACGCAAGGATTTTAAAGCATAGCTGAGCGAATGGCTACAAACTGTTAGGCAGTGCAGAAGAGCAGATCTTCCAGATGTCTAGAGTACCCGCACGCAAACTAACTTGCTTCGTACTATTAAGCCTCTAGCATCAGAGTTCGCAGCCAGCGCACTGCTCTATATCATAGAGAAAGAGGACTGCAATGATCTCGCATCAATTCCAAGCCTAGAACACTACATCTCTCGATACCGCACCTAGCACCGCACTATGAACCCTTTGGCAGCCTCCATAGGATCATTCGCTACCCTAGGCATTGCAGGGACAAACCAGAATCGGTCTGGGTTCAAACCTGGTGCGAAACCTCTCTGCATCTGCGGCAGCACCTATTAGTTTAACGAATGCAAATATTTGAACCCTACTGCTCGTACGAAAGGATGGAAACCAGATCAATCCATCCAGCAGAAGGTCAATCAGGCCCGAAAAGACCCCAATATCAACTCAAAAGTGCAGGCTGCTCTAGAGAGGGACAAGCAGCGGCGAGAGAAGCAACAAAGACAGCAAAGCGCTCTAACACCCATCAATTTTGATCATGGCGAGCTCCCTAGCTCAACTCCGCAGTCAAATGCTCTGCAGCAAGTCTTCAGCACCTCTGTCGCTGTACCAAGCCTCATCAATTGTTGGATACTAGATCCTGGCTCAAACGCGCACATCTGCAACAACACTCAATACGGCTGGACCTATCGACGCGACGCAATGCCTGGAGAGATCGTGTACGCTGGCCGCGAAGCTCTACCCATCACTGGCTGGGGAGACGTCCACCTAAAGGTCAATACACCTGCAGGACTCTCCACTATCAAGCTCACACATGTCGCATACGTCGAGGGCTTTTTTGCCAATGTACTAGGTCTCGCACGTTGCAGATCCCTAGACATCCACTTCGACTCTGGTAGAGACGCGCTATACCAAGGATCCTCAGAAAACGTCGTCTGCAAACTCACCTACTAAGACGGACATTAGCTCATTGATGCAGAGGAGATGGAGCGAGCAGAGCCCTCCACCTTCAGCTCTCGGCTTCAAAGCTCCTCCCCCGAGCTAGTCACCCTAGCCACTAAGCTTAAAAGGATCTATCATCGTCTATCGCGCAAGGAGCGACGCCCTATCATCACCACCCGCGAGGAAGCTCCCAGGCTCATGGGTCACATATCCATGGAGACAGTCAACCATCTGGAGCAAAGTGTACAGGGAATCAGAATACAAGAGCATGGGCATAAGTACGACAGAGCCCTGACACTCAAAGACTGTCAAATCCGTCGCACGTGTCTCACGCGATATCATACCCATGTACTGCACTATTCACCCATTAGGCATAGCTCCTCTCTCGTACAGTATATAGTCAGCTCAGAGCTCTATTGAGCTCCTCAGACCATACAATACACTCGTTCAATCCGCTTCGTTTAGATCTCACCACCTTGTCGACTCGCTTCCCATATGACCCCTTCCCAGCTCATGCAAGAAAATCTGCATTGAAACCAAAATTAAGAAGCAGATTAGTTGATGACCGCCACAATCAGCCTCTGCCCACCCATTCCATCGCATCGGCATAGACCTCATTTAGCTCTACCCCACTGGCCAGCGCTGAGCATACAAAAGAGCAGAATGGACTCACAGAAATCGCTGGTAAGCGACCCATCACAATCGCTCGAGCTCTGAGGCTCCAGGGCAATCTACCAAAATCACTATCCAATGAGCTCTTCGCATTCGCTGCCTACTTGCTCAATCGAGCACCAGTCAGAGCACTCCATTGGCGCACACCGTACGAGCTGCTATATGAACAGAAACCCTCCATTGATCATCTAGCTCCAATCAGATGCTGCGCATACGTACATAATAAGCACCCCAAACGCGCGGACAAGCTCGAATCCAGAGTTCTGATAGGCCACCTAGTTGGATACGACTCAACCAACATCTATAGGATCAGGCTACCGCCAAACAACCAAGTTATCCAAACACGTGATGTCATCTTTGACACAGATCAGTTTTACACAGGCACTAAACAAGAGGATTACATCAATCCCTCGTACATACAAGTCCTCGACATACCAGAAGTCGACGATGGCACCGAGAACCTCTCCCTCAAGCATCAGCTCGCTCTCTCTCAGTCACTAGACGCACTAGCAGAGCTTAAAAAGCAGACCCATGAAAGCGACAAGAGCCCTACGCCTGCTCAGCTTCCGACGCCAGAAAGCTCCGTACAAAGCTCTAAATCACCTGCACCCACGCATAGCTATAAGTCCCATCCAGCACCTTCGCATTTTAACGAGGATGAAAGCTCTCAGCAGCTCGTACGCAAAACGATGGAAGCATCCAATACTAGATCAAACGATGACCCTGCTACCTCTGTGCATGAGCCACCCATTACCTCTGTACATGACCCTCAATATATACCAGATCCTGACCAAAACAACGCACCAAAGGCGCCATCTCTTAACGTTGGCGAATCAAACATTATCAGCAAAAACCGCACTACGCGCTCAAAGCAATACAGCACCTACTTCGCAACCTTCGCTAGCTCCATTGTCAAGGAGCACCCTCATTGCGATCAGCTACCTCCTCATCCAGAGCACTATCGTGATCTAGCAAAACACCCACATATGGCTGAATTTCAAGCAGCCATGCGCACGGATATGGACAGCTGCTGGTCTAAGAGCTGCTTCAAGTGCGCCAGCAAATCCACAATAAAAACCGCCTCTACCAAGATCCTACCACTTTAATGGGTATACGCATACAAATTTGACGAAGATGGCTACCTATCCAAATTCAAGGCTAGAATCCGCGTACAAGGAGACCTCCAAGAACAATGGGGCGATACCTACGCCGCCACCGCAGCTGCTCGCGTCTTCAGAGCTCTAATGGCTCTTATGGCCGCATTTGGGCTGACCTCTCGACAATATAATGTCACCAACGCTTTCCTCAATTCCAAACTCCCTAGACGACTGTTCTGCCGCACACCCGAACGTTTTCAAGCAGAATACAGAGAGTACCTCGAGATACTGCGAGCGCTGTACGGACTTAAAGAATCATCTCGCTTCTAGACTTCTAGTATCTAGAGCTCAAAACAACGCTCAATCAGTTAGGACTCCACGAGATCCCTGAAGCTCCCTGCCTATTTGTCAACAACAAGCTCATCGTACTAGTATACGTTGATGACATTATACTACTATACCACCCTATCAATGCTGAGGCTGCTGAGCAGTTCGAACATGATCTTCAGCATGCGTACGACATTAGGAAGCTCGGCGAACTGAAATGGTTCCTAGGCATTCGAGTTGTGAAGACTGCTGAATCCATCTACCTAGTCCAAGACTCCTTCATTAACAAGATCGCTACCAAATTCAATCTAGAGCAGAGCGGGAAACGACTACCTGACATACCTCTGCGCGAAACCCTAGAGCTCTCTACTGAGACCACCAACGACCGGAGGACCAAGCTCTATCAACAGCTAGTAGGCTCACTCGCCTACATAGCATCATTCACACGACCCGATATCGCGCATGCGCACTCAATACTAGCACGCCACCTCACCAATCCTGGTCAAAAGCACCTAGATGCAGCCCTGCATTGCTGGCGATACCTACTCCGTACAAAACATCTCGCAATAGGAACATCAAGAAACTCTCAAAACAGCGCATTCTATGAGCTTAATCATGCAGAGCCCCAGTTCTATGATGCATCAGACGCTGCATTCGCGGACGATCCAGCGACTCGTCGAAGCTCTCATGGACATCTATTCAAGCTCTTTGGTAGACTGGAAAGCTACCTTGCAACGTACCGTCACCAAATTAAGTACGGAGGCAGAGCTCCTAGCTCTCTTGCAAGCTGGAACTGATATGCGCCTTGTTCTTGCATGGGCTCAGGAGGGGGCATATGGCAAACGACTCGACAAGGGAGCGAGATCCAAACAAAGTGGAATGAGTGTATTGTATCGTCTAAGGAGCTCGATAAAGCTCTGAGCTGACTATATACTGTACGAGATAGGAGCTATGCCTAATAAGTGAATGGTGCAGTACATGGGCATGATATCGCGTGAGACACGTGCGACACTTGTCTCTCGCGCAAGCGTTGAGAGTCTAGCTACGCTCCTCCCACTAAAAGTTCTACTAGCTTCGCGGCCCGCTGCAGCTTCACCTCGCCTTAATCAGGCAATTGGATCTAATGTGCGAGAGGGGCTAGATTGCGGTTCGCGAGATGCTCTAGCCATCCTGTCCGCCATTCTCTGCGGTGAGAGTGCTTTTGGCGTGGCGTATTTTCGGTCTCGCGAACGCGCTTTGCGTTTCAGTCGCGTTCCAGCTTATCTCAGCTAGCTCAGACGTGAGGAGAGAACCGAGGACGCACAAACCACCATGCATATTGTTACTCCAAATAGAGTATGGCCTGGGGGTTAGCGGTTTCTGACCCCTGTCAGTAGCGTTTCTCTCCTCAGCCGTCTGAGGGACTTTTGTGATTTTTTCCATGAATAGGCCTATTTCAAAAGCATCACAATAGAATTAGATTTATGATATCTCTACTACAATATGTCTGAATAGGCTTAGAATTTGATAGAATGTAGAGACAAGCTGTAGCTATAAAATAGTATATTTTTACTAGATTCTGACTGTTATTGGCAGAGAAAAATCTAAACGTGCGCAGAACTTAACCTATCCATGCCCTGATTTCAGATTAATAGTATCGCCCTCCTGACTAGAACTTGACAACTAGTAGACTAAATTCCCTAGAATTTTGCAGGATCACTGACAGAGCTAGTCCGAGACAGCTCCTAGATCCTCAGAGTCCTCGGAGTCCTTAGACAACAGCTAGTTGAGCTGCAGACATGAGAGCGATCGCGATTGTTACAATCCTTGCTTCCTGGAAGCACTCAGGTCGGTTTCGTCCCTTGGGGCTAGGGCGGTGAGAAGGGGCCGACGGCAGGGTGTACAGTCCTGCTTAAGGGCTATTGGGCTAATGGAGGGATAGAGGGTGACCGGATCGTGGTTTATCCCTTACAGCAGTATGGAGGCTGGGTCAAACGGTCCTGTTTGACAGAATTGGAGGTATATATGTTGCAAGATGTACAAATAGGATTGCAGCTCGTCGTAAAGCTGGACACTACTTAGTCTATGTGGAGAATAAATTAAACGTTGAACACACCGTCCTAGAGATGGTGGTTCGTCCAAATTATATACGCGTTGAGGCTCATCAGATGCGAGTCACTCGAGCTTGAACGAGTTCGCGGTACAGCGAACTCGCTCGACTTGCTTAGGCTCGCCTTGGCTCCTTGGCCTTGTTGCTTACTGGACTATGCACTCTTCTATAATTCTAGGCAGCTGCACTGCCTCTGTGTCTTCCTGTTGGCTCGCTAACGAGCTCTGCCCCAACTCGGCTAGATTGTGGAGCACTTCGGGTGGAGTTGCGTCGGTCCAACCAAAGATCGTAACAGCAATGTCCCTAGCCTACTATCCAGCTTGACAACCAGCGGCCTAGATCTCCTAAAATTTTGCAGGCTCTCTGATAGAGCCTGTCTTAGACAGGTCTTAAATTCTGAAGATGATATATTGTGTGGTTAGGGAGTCGCATTAAGGTGTAGTCGTGGGGTCATCAAAATGTCCTGCACAGGACTTAATAGCGCAATACTTTGCTGAATCTTGTTAGAATCAGGTTACAAAAATGTTAGGATATAGCTAGAGACTGTCTCTATTCCCTATTAAAATATAACCAGGTTTGGACGAAAAGTGGTAGAGTTACAGTAATTCTTAGTTAAGCTGGTGCATGGTGGAGGTTTCAACCACGATATCTGTTGAATGGGCTCTGACAGCTAGCTGCTTATAGTATAAGCACTTAAGTAGCAAGAGTAAGAGTAGTGTACAGTGTGCACAGCGTATAAAGTAGGTAAGGTAAGGGCAACATGTTTCTAGTTCTATTACTCTTATCTTTCCTTTATATAAAGAAAAAAAGGGATATTTAGATGTTTA